TACTGGATGTTATTTTTATTACTGTAGTCATCATTTTGGTGCAGTAGATTGAATGGTGAGTTAGATGCACAATTTTTACCCTATTGTTACCGTATTGATAGAAACAGCTGTCACTGTAAATAGTAATATTTGTCTAACAAGCCAATGCTACATGACTTTCAGGGCAAAGCTGTAACCCTTTGTGTCCTTTACTAGGTGTAATATACAGAGGAAGTCATTACATTCAGCCTCAGCTCAGCCAATCACAGCTCTCCTTTAAAGACCTCTTCCTGGACCCAGACACTGGCAAGGTGAGCTTGTCCCTGTGTTTCTGACACTTACCAGCAACTATAGTCATAAACCTGCCTACTGTGTGATTCTCCTGTGGTGTAGGTTCGTCCTCGGCAGGTCAGCACAAATGTTTGTTTCAGTTTGTGGAGCTGCAGAATGATTCCTACTCCTGGGGTTGGTGTTCAAGTCCTCAGTCGGCACGTCCGCCTCTGCGCCTTTGACGGAACTCAGGTATCATGGTTTTCTCTGTATACTTTTATTTTAGACACTAGTCTATGACAAAAAATGAAAAAGAAATTATTTAAAACCATTATGAGCACATTTTTACAACATAAATTTATGCAACACACCAAGAAAGGTACTAAGTCACAAACATTTAGAGAACTAAGAAAGATCCTGAACGCTTCATTATATGAAGTTTTTTCTTTTTTGCGTCACTCTAAATAGACTAAAATGTGCTGTATAATGTGGTGTACGGTAGTCTTCAAAAAGAGCTATTTCAACTTTATCTGCACATCTAGAATTTATGTCTTAGCATATTTGCTTGTGCAGAAAGCTTATACCACTGTCGTTATTACAAACAGAATCAGGGAAACATTTGCTTCCATTCTTCCTTGGTTGGAGCGATCATTATTACGTTCTTTTGTACTGTAATTTTTTACTGCAGTTCTTTAATTTCTCCAAATGTCTTCAGAGTATAAATAATTGTATTAATACTTTTGGTGTATTAGGTAAAACAGAGGTGTCAAACATTACGGCTAGAGGCCGGGATAAGCCCTACAAAGATTATAGATTTCAATTTTTTTCAGTGGGTCCACATTTTCTGTGAATTAGAAAAAACTTTCTGTTTGTAATTACCGGATATTCTGAACAATGAGGTAGCAGAGTGTTTTCTGTAATTTTGTGTCATACAATTCAATCCCAAAGAGGTCATGATGACAAATTTCTTTCATTTACTACAGCAGCATCTGTTTAGGGAAACTGAGGTCTGAAAACAACCTCTGTTGTTGTGTTACACAAAGGCCATGTCCACACTAATACGTTTTCATTTGGAAACGCAGCGTTCTGAAAACGCTTTTCAAAGCGGATACATTCAAAAACGCTGTTTTTGCATAGCAGTGTGAAACAAACCCGGAACCTTTTCAAAGTTGATGATACATTTTGTCATGTGATGCAGTCATGTGACCAATTAAACTATGATAGCGGAGGGCATTATACAGCAGTTGTTTTGTTTGTTCTCAATTTTGACAGCCCTATTAAAGATTAATATCAGTTTGCACATGCTCCAGATAGCTTTTCTTCAACTTCTTTAATTCTCACTTGCTTTGCAACTTTGTACTTTTGTGTTACTCGCAGCAACAACTCCACCTCATTGTTAGTCCATTTAAAAAACTCAGTGCTTTTCTTCAACATTTTGTCGCAACGTTTCAAAGAGCCGGAAGGTAAATAAGCAGCAGACAGAAATGAGGCAGGTCGAATCGTCTTGCGTTTCATGCATGCGCAGGACTGGAACGTAATTGTTTTCAGCCGTGGATCAACAACTCTGTGAAAACAACTGAAAACGATAGTGTGACGCGGAGCGTTTTCAGATAAAAATGCCGTTTTCAAATTTAACCGGGCTAGTGTGGATGTAGTAATTCATATCCTTGATTACTTTAGTGGCAGGAATCATGTATTGGTGTCTTTAAGTGTGTAAGCTTATGAAACAGTCACGTTTCAGCTCAACTCAGACAACAGAGAACACGTTTCTGCCATAAAACAGGAAGATTTTTATGCAGGTTTTTTTTTTTTTTCAGATTTAACTCTTTGTATCTAATTCCCTCGCTCTCTTGCTTTTTTCAACATGAGTTTCCCTGTGTTTCAGGTTTTGAGTAACATCCACATAATAAGGGCAGCCTACAATGCCAAGAGCCCAAAGACCTGGAGCTTCTCTCCAAGGGTATGAGGAGGTTGCTATGTTTGTAACCTTACAACACAAACTGATTTGCAGACTCTTTGTACTGAGGCTCTCCAAAAGAAGAAAAAAAAAAGAAATTGTGAGAAATGTGAAATTTAGCATGTGTTCATGTGTGTGTCTGTTCAAGGTGACCGGTATCTTGCCCACCCTCTTGGATGGAGACTGTTTTCTGCGCTGCAACTCTGCGTCTCCTAACCTCGGGATCCTCTTTGAATTAGGAGTCACTTTTATACGAAATGTAAGGGTGCATACAATTTTGCGAATTACAAAAATGTGTATAAGGAAAGAAAAAAAAGTGTCTCTGTTTTAGTCTACTGGGGAGAGAGGAGACCTAAGCTGTGGTTGGGCTTTCCTCAAATTGACCGATGATGCAGGAAATCCTGTGCCGAACAGGTACATATTAATGTTTTTTTTTATAGTCATCCGGACATATGCAGAAAAAGCTGCGAAAATATATCAGAATATCTTTTCTTTAGACACCTACAGTAGTGAAAAGATTAACGAAGTAAAATGACACCTAGCGCAAAACCACTGACATTATTAAGTGCGCACTTGAAAAACATCGAATTATCTACTGTGTACAGGACCTATGAACTGCCTGTGAATGGTGGCACTCCATATGAGAAGGATGTAGCAGTGGAGGCGTCACCCACTAGAGGATGTAAGGAGAAATGGCAGACTCAGTACATTTTGATCTTAAAATAATATAAGGAAAAAACAATAGAAACAAAATAATAGTTTTTATGTTATATTAATCAGTGTATCTCCTCTCCTTTCAGCTCCAAGTGGTGTTTTCCAGCAGATGCTCCAAGCCAGGCGGCAGCCCAAACTTGTTGTTAAGCTGAAATCAGCCAACAGCCGGACGCAAACACAGCTCAGGTTAGAAGATCAGTGAAAAAAAGACTGCCGCTGTGCTTGAACACCTGCAGTAGAATATCTTATCCATAAAGCCTTCCAGATATATCCCTGTGTGCATGTATGTGCGTGCATGTATATGTTTGTGATAAGTACATTTTTTTCTCTTCAGTGTCCTTCCAGATACTCTCCTCCTCTGCCTAAACTGCATCCATCTGCTGGTTCTGCACAGGCATCTGCTCGCAGACGCACTGCTGATGGACAGGCCCACAGTGCAGAATGCAGGTAGCTCGCACTGTCAGTGGTTCTTATCCAAACCGATCACATTCACAGCTCTGGGTTTAATGCCATTATCTCTCTTTCAGATCTAATATGCAGTCCTATTCTTTCAACCTTTCCTGTGTTGTTGGACCAGCCAGACCTGTTAGATGCTCTCAGGGTGAGAAAAGTCACATTTGTCATTCAAATAAGATTCAACAACTGCTCCTTTGTTTTGTTGCTTTATTAACACAGCTGAAATTCTGCTTGTTGAAGATGATTTCTGTGAGATTATTTTTAATATTCTCATAGTAAAAATAATGTGTGATTATATATAGAGAGAGTTTAAAGCTTGTTAAGTGGTATGACCCATCGCATTTGTTTGATGGTAAGGACAACTGAATATTCAAATAACTGTGTTTCTTCCAGAGTGCCTGGCTGGATGCTGAGACTAACATGAACAGAGCACAAAAGGTGCGTGCGTGTAGGTGTGTAGTTATACAACTCTGTGTCCAAACACATTTTGGCC